GGTCCAGTCTTCTATGCATTTTCCCACCTAGCCTCCCTCACTTAATTTCTCCTGGTCACAGTATCCTCATCTGGAAAAGGAGGAAACTGGACTTCATGATCTCAAAGGTCCCTTCTCTTTCTAAATCTGTTAGCTTGGTCTAATACATCTATGGAAAAATCCATAAACTATAAATCTCCAGTTCCCCAAATTGTATTGCATTGAACTCACAAAGTCCCAGTGGGGTATTTTAAATATTCTACCTAACCACTTAGTAAATGAAACTTTTTGTTTTGGGGTGCTGTGAAAAAATATTAAAAGACTGAAAGATTCTGAGAACTGAGACAGTTGGGACCATAAATCCATTCTAACTGACACTGAGGGAAATCTCAGATATATACATCTCAGATATCATTCCATTTGCCATGAAAGTTAGTGGTGACAAGAAAATTTAAACACAATCTTGTCCCCTTGAAAATATTTTCCTTCATCATTCATATATTTATTATTATCTTCATCTTGACATGTTTGGAATCAGAAAACACTATCTGTCAATGATATAGAACTAATAAAATATGTTTCATGCAAATTAACTAGTGATTTTTATGTATACACAATTCTGGCATACTTGTTAGACATCCAATGTGCCGAGCAAACTGTCAGGCATGCCATAGATGGAGGAAACCTTGCTGTGTTAAAGAAGAGTAGATAGACATAGTCTCTATCTTTTGGAAATATGATGCATTTACTCACACTTTGTGGAAGGGAGATCAATTCTAGCTTCATCACTAAGATGTTTAAGTTGGTTTCAGAACCCACTTGAATGTTTTTCCCCCATTTGTTGATTAAAAAAAACCAATGAAATCAGGTTGGAGGGTAAGTATCAATTAATATAAGATAAAAGAAATATCCTGAGTGAGATTTTTCATTAGACTTTCATTTTTCATTAGACTAGAAATTCCATCCAATTCTATCAAGCCATAGGCCATTATGAACAGGGGCAAGTTTACTTGAAATATTAAAAAATGGGATTGCATCCTCCTGCCCCCAACATATCACTAATATTTTAGTGTCCATTTTTTGAAATGGACCCACAATTTCATTGGAATGGAGAACTCCTAAGAAACTCTGAAGAAATTAATGCAGAATGTCACCTATTCTGCAACTGATAGTCTTAGAGAGTCTACTAATACCCTGAAAAGTTATGTGACTTACCCAGAAACAGTCATTATGTGCTGAAGCAACACTTGAACCCAGGTCTTTCTAATTTTAAGGCTGGTTCTCTACCCACTCTGCCATGCTACCTCTCTATTGAGACTTATAGAGATAATTTTTGACCCAAATGTTGTGGAAGATAACAGAATACAGCACTGAAAAGAATTGCAGATGATCTACCAGCAGTTCTACACCTGGGGTCTATGAACTTTTTTTAAAAAAAATATTATAGTAACTGCATTTCAGCATATTTGAATTCTTTTGTAATCTTATATATTTTGCTTTCTTTGTATATCCCAGGGTGAAAAGGATATCTTTCAGGCTTGTTAATTATGTCAGGGCTAAAGACACAGTTTCTAGTGCACTTAAGTAGACTACTTGTTCAGTCTTATATTGCAATCTAATTCCTATATTCTAATACCGATTTGCCACAGAAATATTCTTTGGAAAGTGGCACAGTGCTACTAACAGTCTGAATGCCTAGATTAACCTCAACTACTGGTTTTACATTTTAAACCTGTGATAGTGTTAGCATATGGTAGCTTCATTCATTTGAGAGAATGACATTTAAAGGGACCCAAATGATCTTGATTTGCAAAATGATCAATTCAAAGCTTGTCCAGTCACCAAAAGTCAGAGATATAAACCTCATCAGGTGTCCATGAATATCAGTCACACTATTAAAATGAGATCTCTTCGTGAAGAAAAAAATATGCAGGCACATGTCAAAAAAATAAAGGTTATAGATAGCACTGAGGTTTTGCATAAGCTAGCTATTGAAAATAATTGCAGTCTGTATTTGAATAAATATGGTAATTTTCTATGGCCAAAGAAACACTAGGAAATAATCTGAAATTTGAAGTGCCATGATCATTCTAACTCTGCTGAAGTCATTGGCAGTCATCTGTTCCATCTAAAACCCTCAAAGAATCATCCAGGGCCCTGGCAATTTAAATCTGGTTGTTTTTAGGGACTTTGAAATTCCCTTAACAATTTAATATTATGAACCTGAAAGTTAAAAACTTTTCAATATATCAAAGATTGCACTGAAATTTCCATTGATTACTCTGAAGCTTAATTCAATCAGTAAGACATGGAATCAATTAAACAGAATCTGATTGTAAGAGACTCTTGCACTCATCTCATTCAGGGGTGTCAAATATGCACTCCCAGTGTAGCCTGAACCAATAAAAATGAAATTTGGAAATATTTAACAAAATAAAAATACAAAAGAATATAGATAATGTTAATATGTAGTTTTCTAAGTAAAATATGCAGCCTGCAGAAATCCTTATGTATGGTTTAATAGCCTCCATTTTTATTTGACTTTGACACCACTGATCTAGATCATACTATACCTATGCAGGAATCCCATTTCTACCATCTCTGATGGTTATCATCACCCTGGAATTGAATATCCTCCATGGAGCAGTTGAAAAGAGAGAACCAAACACACTGTCTTTATCACACTGTCTCTTAGCCATCCAGCCAGTAAAGGTACTTTATGATGAGAACAAGACAGCTCTATCATTGAAATATTCTATAGGACCATTAGATAAATTAAAAAAAATAGTTTCTATATAGTTATAAAATCCTCATAGCTGATGAGAAGTTTAGTTCAACCTAAATCCTAAGCTTTCATTAAGATTCCTTCAGGTGATGAGATAACTTATCAAACCTAAAGCAAAAATGTTAAGATTCCTCCAGCATTTATCTGAGCTACTGGCTTCTTGTGGTCACAGATTTCCTTGTTTAACTAGTGCTTTCTCAGTACTCTCATTATCTCTCTTCCCCATCTCTCCTCTTCCACCTAAAAGAGAAAGGAATCACTAGCATCTCTTCTCCAATTCATGGTCCTTCCACTGATGTGGCAGTGGCAGGCGAGAAGAGAACAAATTATCTAATTGGGCAGTGGTATGAAACCCCAGGCTTTTCTTCTCCCAGTAAGATAGGCATATCTTGAAAATTTATTAATATTTTTGCATTCCTCTTTTTTTTTCAAAATCTGTCCTCCCCCTGCAGCACCTTCCCTTGTTACAAAGAAATACATTCAAGACAAAATAAAATGACTTGTCAGAATATACCTCATTCTGCACCTGTAGTTCAACACTTCTTTATTAAAAAGAGGGGTATGTTTCATCACCAATCCTCTGAACCTAGATTGGTCCTATCATTAGAAGTCAGTTCTGAGTTCTGATTTCATGTGATGTGTGTGTGTGTGTGTGTGTATGTGTGTGGTCGTGTTTTACCATACTAAGCTCATTGTGTATATTCGTCTCTCGTTTCTACTTACTTCTCTGAATACTAATTCAGATAATACTAATATTTGGCTTACTAAATATCTCTAAATTCTTCACATTTATCTTTTCTTACTAGATAATAATATTCCATTACATTCCCATCACACAGCTTATTGAGCCCTTCTCAAGTTGATAGGCATTGAATTTGTTTCCAGTTTTTTGCTACCAGATGGGTCTAATTTTTCTTATATGATTACTCAGTTATGCCATTAAATTTTTTTAAACATTTATTCAGCTCTTAGTATGTGCAAAGGATAGGGACAAAATTAAAAAATGACAAAGTCCTTGCTCTCAAGGAACTTGTTAAATGTACACAAATAAACGTAAAACATACTGGAAAGTCATAAAACAGAGTAGAGATCTAGATTGAGTGCTTTAGGAGAAGGTGCTTTCAGCTGGAGGCATCAAGAAAGATTTCATGGAGGAGGCAGTGCCTCAGCTGGGTCTTGAAGCTGGAAAGGTTTTCAATAGTCTTCCTTTTTCAATACTGCTATGGAGTTTGTAGATTTTGGGATTCTTTCAGGAACCATTTTTCTTTATGGATCCAATACAGAATGGAGGGCTAACAGTGAAAAAAAAAGTTTATTCTCAAGTTCCTTCCAAAACCTTTGCTAGACCCCAGGAAAACCCAAGGATCTTTCTTCATCTAGTTTGTCTAAGTAGATCTAGGAAATTGTAGGTATTGGCCAGATGGAAAGTCTCTGGTTCATCTATGTCAGAAAATATTTTGGGAAAAGAGAAGCTCCTAAATGTCTCCTCAATAAAAAATAGGGCAAAATTTATTGTCTCAATTGCCTCTTTGTCATCTACAGATGAACCTATGAAGGTCAGGTGCTATGAAGGTCAGGTACAATCCTGGATTCTCTGCTGATGTTATGTCTTTGCTTTGTCTAAATAATTATGCATTATCGGTTTCTGAGTCCATCTTAGAGTCCTTTTCACTTTCCTTTTGGCTTATCTGGACCTTAACATCTTGGGGTTTGGGATATTCTCTTTTCTACTCACCTAAACAAAGTATCCTTTGATTAAGTAAAAGGATTTTTTTTCTTTCTAGAATGGCCTCTTTTCATTCAATATTAGACACAGTAGCAGAATAAAGGGGCTTTTGCTCATCTTGCAGTGGATGTGAGTCACAGAAGGAGAGCAACTGGAATTTTGTTCAAGTAATTCAATCGCAGTAGCCATCCTCTCCACCCATTTCACATCCTCCACAAGTATCATCCCATCTATAAGTATCACTCTCACAATATGGTGCAGGGGAATCTGTCTGGTTAAGGCAAGTCCAGTATGGAGAGAAATTTCCGGTGATGGTTGGTATGGTCAGCTAAGTGACCATGGTGATAGAGATAAGTATTTGACATTGAAAAGAGAAGAGGTGAAGGTGAGCGATTGAATGTGGCCATAGAAACATTTTGGAACAAGGGGTCTTGCAACTGACTTCCAAAGGCTTTGCTGTGTGCCAGAAAACATAATAGACAAACAAGGAAAAATACAATCAACAAAAAATGAAGGCCACTATGATTATATATATTTCCATTTTGTTAAGGGCCAAAGGCTATTCATAACTGAAAAAACACAGTTAGTAAGGAAGAAAATCATCTTGTCCATTTTTCCAGTTTGAGGTGCAAAGTTTCATGTTTCTTAAGATGTTAAATTGTTTCTTCCTTCCTGCTGCAGTTTCTTTTTCCTGCTCACTTTGACACTGGTTTTTAGGTCCTCAGCTCGCAACTGAGGTCTCTCTACATTTTAAGAATTCTGATGCTTTCTGGTACTCAGGAAACATCTTTTGGCAGGAACATCTGGAAGACAGAATCATAAAAATCACAGGGAAGTTACTCTAATAATGCAGTCCACTAAAGATTAGTTTGTACATTTTTTTTAAGAATTGGAGAGAAGTTCTGAATGTCTACAAATTGTCCTCAAGAGTTATCCACTTTTTGTTAGAAATATCTTTCATGCATGATACTCATTATTCTACTTACCTATTGGCCCATCAAGTATGACCTTTATTAATCTATTTAGAGGGTAAATCAAATTTCTTAATGTCCAGAACCATAATCAAATCTTAAAGTGGTTTAAAAATAATTTGGAAACAATGTACATTTTAAGGATTCAGGATTTTATGACCAGCAAGATGCCAGAGTAGTTTTTTCTACAACTATCACCCCAAACAATTTTTTTTAAAGAGCTAGAAGAGGAAAGATGAGAAAATTCATCTGGGGCCTGATAAACTTGAGGGTCATAGATTTCACAAGAGAATATGATAACAAGAAAATTATCTAGAACTTTTTGAATGCAAACAACAAAACACTGTTTGAGTAAATCTACAGATTGCCACTACCACCACCACTCCCCCCACCAAAATAAAACAACAAAAAAACCCCAAACAAACCTTCAAACATAACTTAAAAAAAAACCTAATATACTCCCTTGAAATTTGAGGTATTGCAAAGGTGACACAGTGGATAGAGTGCAGGGCCTAGAGTCAGGAAGACTCATCTTCCTGAGTTCAAATCTGGCTTCAGACACTAACTAGTTGTGTGACCCTGGGCAAGTGACTTAACCCTGTTTACCTCAGTTTTCTCATCTGTAAAATGAGCTGGAGAAGGAAATGACAAACCACTCCAGTATCTTTATGAAGACAACCTCAAATGGTGTCACAAAGAGTAGGATACGACTGAAAAACAACTAAACAACAAGGCGGATTAGATTTCACAGTTTCAATGGATAGGTGGAACTAGGCTGGTGACTTCATTCATACAAGGAAATCCAACATGAGGAAACTATTTTTTCCAATGTAAATAAGCACCTTTTCTGAAATTTAGAGTCTTAAGGAATTGCCTATAGCTCTGGAAGATTGAATGATTTGCTCAGATTAGTACATCCAGTTTGTTTTAAGAGGCACAAATTAAATCTAGGTCTTCTTAGCTTCAAAGTTGGCTCTTTATTTACTATGAAATGCTGCTTCTCAATGTCAATAGCAATAAATTTTACACACATCAAGGAAAAAGATCATTAGATCTAAAGAAATGGAAATTTAAATAACTCAGAATTACTCCACAGGCATCAGAAATTGGTGAAGGAAATTACAAAAAAGCAAAGATGCTCAAACCACAAGGCAAAATAAAATATGCTGTGTTATAATTGTGTCTTGTTCTGGTCCCCTGACCACCCCACCCCCTTCTAGTCAATACAGTAAGTTTTAGCAGGAAATAAGATTGTAAAGGAGAACCTGGAAGTCATGTGCAGATGGTCCCAAAGATCAAAGGAGCATAATTTACGAATTGTATCATATATTAACCAATATTCACACCTTGGTAATATGTGATGAATCAAGGGAAACCATCTAGGCACTGCTTGTCGAAGTTTCTGGTCCTATGATATGGAAATTCCAGACAAAATCCAGACCTCCATAGCTCCAGATCAGCAGAATATCAAGAAAGTGCTGACAACTTTGAGATGATGACTTTGAAATTTTACTGATAACTTTGAGATGAATTGGATTTGTTAATAAACTAATCCTAAGGTGGCACAAGATAAGGGTTAGTCTGTTTGCCCCCAAAACCCTGTAATTTTGACACCTCAAACTCCTGTCCCCTGAGTACTCTGCCATCTCCATTGGGTCCATTGCTGCTTAGCACTCCCAACTCTAATCCATTGTTACGTAAGTGATACTCTCTGCCTCTCCCCTCCCCATCCTTTTCCCCATGCTGCCTTCCTTTACCATTTCATTCTCTGTCACTGTGACACCATCTACCTCTGTATCACTTTTCATCACTTGTCTCTGCCTTCGTGAGTTTTTTGCCCCCATTCCCTTTGTGTTTAATTAAAGCGTGATTGCCACCCAGTTTCCCACTACCATTGTGGTCTTTCCTAGCGAGCACCCAAAGAACTAAGTGTGTCTGTCCTCATTTAATGATTTCATAAATTAATTATTAATCAATATACCCTAGAAAGTAGAGCTTAATCATCAATGAAAAAAGTTGGCTCTTTAACAAAAGAAAGATAAACAAGTACTTTATCTCTCCCCCTCAAAAGCTTGAAAAAATAAAATAATTCTTTCATGTTTATATTCTATTGTTCTTTTTTGTTTGTTTTTGGTGGGGCAATGGGGGTTAGATGACTTGCCTAGGGTCACATAGCTAGAAAGTGTCAAGTGTTGGATTTGAACTCAGGTCCTCCTGACTCCAAGGCTGGATCTCTATCCACTGCACCACCTAGCTGTCTCTCTATTGTTCTTTGAAAAGAGATTGAATTGAAGGGTAAAAGAAAGAAGAGGGATAATCAATGGAGAAAAATACTTAAGGCAAAAGATTTAAGGGAAAGTTAAGGAACCATAAAATGGTGAGGAAAAAAAAGACTAGAACGGGACTTAATAATCGCCATAGGAGCACTTTGGAACAAAATGTTTTGAAGCCTCTGGGCTTTTCTGTATGTCAAATAGTATAACAAACAAACAAAAAAAAAGGAAAAGAGATTGACAACAAGAGACAAGAGCATTGCAACTATATACATTTCTATTTTCTGGAAGAACTCAACAACTTTGTTGAAGAAAGAGATGAATTGATAACTCATAGACTAAAACTCGTAAGTGAATTGATATCTTTTGTGTAAGTGATAAAATTGGGGGAAGTTGTGTGAGTGAAGAGATGGAAGGTAAGAGACAAAGAATAGCTATAGATATATGCCCACCAATTCTATAGGTGAGAAGGTATAATAAACACTTTAGTTTCTTTGCCAAAAGTGGGGATAGGGGTGGGTTAGGGAGAACAGGATAAATGCAATAGAGTTAAAAGATTGGATGGAGGATTAGTTGGGAAGGGGTTCACACTGGAAGGGACAGGAAAATGTACTACTGAAGAATGTTCCCATATAGAAGAAGTATACGCCTGTGGTAAGAGATGGGGCCTCATAATAGATTTTATGTGAGGGAATTTTGCACATCAGGATGAACCTTCTATAAAGGCAGGCAGGCAGAAAGCATTTATTAAGTCTACTATTTGTCAGGCACTGTGTTGGGTGCTATACAATTTTTATCTCATCTGATCCTCACAAAAATTCTGGGAGTTAAGAGCTTTTATTATCCCCATTTTATACTGAAGAAAACTGAGGTATAGGTTAAGTGACTTGCTCAGGGTCACACAGCTAATAAGTATCTGAGGCTGGATTTGAACTCATGTCTTCCTGACTCCAGGCCCAGCACTTTATTTACTTGTTCATCTAGCTGCTTCTGTGAGAAGAATTGTACCTCAAGTACAGCATCCCACCCTAGGAGAGGAGTTGTATGAGTCTCCAAAGTAAGCTGGCACCTCAAGTGGTAGGGAGGACATGGAAACAAAGATAGGATGGGCTTAGGAGTAGAGAGAAGTCATCACTGGGCACAAGATCGGATGGAGTGTGGAGTGTGTGATTTAGAAGACAAAGCAAATCCACTCACATGACATTGTTTCCTGCAGACATTTTTTCCTTTGTGAATTGATATTTCTACAAGTAAGGCACATTAGAAAATGGGGAGAATAGGGCAAGATCTAAAAATACAATCTTGGATAGGTGAGAAACTTCAACTTTGCTATTTCAGAAGTTCTAATCTCATGATGGACACAGAGAGAATGAAAAAGAAGAAAAAGGGGGAATCAACTATGAAATGGAGAATAGAATTCAAAATAGTAGAGTAGCAAAAGGAAATGAGGACAAGATGAAGGCAATCTTGGTAAAGTGTTTCAAGAAAAGAATGCTTCTTAAAAGAAGAGGTTGGGAAAACTGGGGAAGGAAGATTTTGAAAAAAAGGCTTGATTGTGGAGGGCAAGCGAAAGGTCAAAAGAGGAGAAATAAACAAATACATAGATGCTACATAGATAAATAAATAATTTAAGCAAATTCAGAGAACTAAGAACAAAACAGGGGAATGTCAATAGGGGAGAGCATGTGGGAACAGAGTAGAATAAAACTTGTATGAGCAAAGCTAAAGCAAGAGTCAAAAAGGGAAATGGTGGCAATAAAGCCAATGTAAAAGAAATAATTAAAGGAAAATATGTTCAACAGTAATAGCCTTAAACATAAATAGGTAAAATAATATAATTAAATAAAAAGAGTGATAGAGTGGATACTAAATAAAAGTCAATAATTTTTGTATGTAAGAAAAAAATCTAAAAATAAGGATATACATGATGAAAATCAGAATGGAAACAAAATTTACAGCAATCAGTGAATCCCTAAAGTTGGAGCTGCAATTCTGCTAACAGAAAAAATAACAATAAAAATCCACAATGACAAGAGAGATAAAAATAAGAGAAGTTCATATATTTTAAGGAACTATAGACAATGAAACAATATCAAAGCTAAGTATACACATACCATATGCCATAGCATCTAGATTCACAAAAGAAAATCTAACTGAACAGCAAAAAAACCATAGTTAACTTAGGGTTTGTAAGAGACTAATATCCTTATTTCAGAGATTATAATATTATAACCAAAAACTTATTATGTTAATAGGGGTAGAAAAAGAGCTTTTGTCGAGAACAATAATCATTTCTGTAAAAAAAAAACCCTAAAAAACGCCATAGAAAAGTCATTTTGGAACATGATAGAAAAATATATATCTGAGACCAAGAGGTAGCATTATTTTTTTAAACTTTTTAAAAATTTTATTTGGGGAATGGCTGTGTTCTTGTAAATTTGTCTTAATTCTCTATATATTTTAGAAATGAGGCCTTTATCAGAGAGTGGTTGTAAAAATTCTTTTGCAATTTTCTACCTTCCTGCTAATCTTAGTTGCATTGGTTTTGTTTGCACAAAAACTTTTCAATTTAATGTAATCAAAATTATCCATTTTGCTTTTTGTAATGTTGTCTATCTCTTGCTTGGTCATGAATTCTTCTGTTCTCCATAGATCTGATAGATAAACTATTCCTTGCTCTCCCAGTTTTCTTATAGTATCAGCTTTTATATCTAAATCATGAACTCATTTTGACTTTATTTTGGTATATGGTGTGAGATTTTGCTCTATGCCTAGTTTCTGCCATATTCTTTTCCTGTTTTCCCAGCAGTTTTTTTTCAGAGTGGGTTCTTATCCCATCACTTATTTCCCCAAATAATCTGTATAATATTGGAATTAATTGTTCTTTAAATGTTTGATAGAATTTGTGTGTAAATCCACCTGGCCCTGGAGATTTTTTCCTAGGGAGTTCATCAATGGCTTGTTCAATTTCTTTTTCTGAGATGGGGTGATTTATTTTACTTCCTCTTCTGTTAATCTGGGCAATTTATATTTTTGTAAATATGTATCCATTTCACTAAGATTGTCAAATTTGTTGGCATATAGTTGGGCAAAATAATTCCTAATTATTCTTTTAATTTCCTCTTCCTTGGTGATAGTTTCACCCTTTTCATTCTTGATACTAGTAATTTGGTTTTTGTCCTTCTTTCTTTTTTTTAATTAAATTAGCCAAATGTTTATCTATTTTATTGGTTTTTTTTCATAAAACCAGCTCTTAGTTTTATTTATTAGTTCAATAGTTTTTTGATTTCCATTTTATTAATTTTTCCTTTGGTTTTCAATATTTCTAATTTGGTGTTTAATTGAGGATTTTTAATTTGTTCGTTTTCTATTTGTTTAAATTGTTTGCCCAATTCATTGATCTCAAGAAGTAGTATTATTTGAGATGGAGAAACACTAGAAGCTTTTTCCATAAATACAGAAATGAAAAAGAGAAAAAATCTCAAAGTAACCCTCTTTGTAGAAAACATGATTGATTATTTTGGAAACTCCAGAGAACTAGCAAAGAATCTGAAATAATTAACACGTTCAGCAAAGTATCAGGACACAAAATAAGTCTACAAAAAATTGTCAGGCATTCTATAAAACAAAGCAAAACCAGGTGGAAATAATAGAAAAGAAATTCCCTTCTAAACATCTACAAATTTGTAAAATATGTGAGAATCAATCTATCAAGAAAATCTTAATGCTTATATAAATATAATTATAAAATATCTTCAGGGAGATAAAAAATGACTTGAATAATTGGAGCAATACTCACTGATTATGGCTAGACCTCATCAATATGATAAAAAATTAGACTGATGCCTATGTTAATTTTCAGGTATATTACTATGATTATCAAACAACCGAGAAGGTTCTTTATAAAACTGGATAAAATAAGAACAAAATCCATTTGAAGGAACAAAATATCTAGAAACTTCAAAGGAAATAATAAATAAAAGCAGGAATGAGGGGAATGAAGTGCTTCCAAACCTCAAATTATGTTATAAATATAATCACTGGTTTAGAATGGAAAAGTAAATCAGTAGAACTTGTTGCAATAAAGATGAGACAGAAATAGTTGGAATCAATAACACAGCATTTGATAAATCTGAGAATATAAATTACTTGGGGGAAAATTATTTGACAAGACCTGCTGGTAATATTGGAAAGCACTTTGGCAGAAATTAAGTCTATACCAACATCTTAGACCATTTACCTTGACAACCTCCAAAGGGATAAGTGGACTGATTGTATAAGAGGTCATACTATCATACAATTATAAGAGAATGAGATTAGGTACCTTTTACAACTTTTGCAGTGGGGAGAATTGTTTAGCAAAATGAGACAGAAGAGATCCCAAAAGGTGAAACAGACAATTTTGATAAAAACGAAAGCAAAAAATCATGGCATTAACAAAACCAATGCCATGGGAATAAGAAGGGATCAAATGTCTGTGGTATAGGTCTGATATCAAAGACACTTAGCAGGCACAGAGGAATATATACTTGTCTCAAAAGACGAACTTCAAGCTATTAACATCCATATATCTAAATCACTAGCAATATGATAAATGAAAATGAAAACAATTCTAAGGCTTTACCTTACACATAGCAAATAGGCAAATATGAAAACATATAGACATAGTCAACATTGAAGATATATTAACACAGTGTTCGTAGAACTATGAATTGGTCCAACCATTATGGAAAGCAATTTACAATTATGTTTTAAAAAAAAAAGACTAAAATGTCCATATTCTTCTATCTAGAGATTCTACTGCCAGCAATATATCTAAAAGAGGTCAAAGATAGAAAGTGCCTATGTTCAACAGAATGTTTCTAACAACCATTTTAGTAGTAGCAAACACATAGTATTTGGTAGATGTCCGTCAATTGGGGAATGTCTAAAAACTTTTATAGACGAATCTATATTATCGCATTGAAAAAAAATGATGAGTACAGAGAATGCAGAGAAGCATGGGGAAAACTTACATAGATTGGCCCAGAAAAAAAAGAAAATAGAGCCAGGAAAATTCTATGTGTGTGTGTGTGTGTGTGTGTGTGTGAGTGTGTGTATAACTAGGTGGATGATAGGTAGATAGAGGTAGGTATATATGTATATATGTGTACAGACACATATATGTACATATGTGTGTACATAGTGTGTCTGTATATGAGTGTGTTTATATATATGTATATAAAGAGAGGGAGAGATGATGGTGGTGGTGGTGGTGGTGATGGTGATGATGATGATGATAACTACAATGATATAAATGGAAAGGAATAAGTTTGGTCCCAAAGAAGGGAAGAGAAAATGAATTTCCCTTCTTCATTGGAGATGTGAGTGGGTGGGAGGTCTATCTGTATAGAATATTTCATACATTGTCAGACATAATTAATATGTTGGTTAATTTTTCAGAGTAGTCCTTATCAAGGCTACTGTAGTTAGGATTAAAGATTTAAATATGGATTGACTAGATGACATCTGATTTAACTTTCAACTCTAAGGATGAATAATTTCATTCGCTCCAACAAGGAGAAAGATATGAAGTCTAAAGAGTCAAGAACAAAAATGATTAACAAGGAAGTGACACATAAGATAAGTGACAATATAGCAAGAGGACCATGAACTCAAGTCACCTGAATCATATTTCCATTGTTTGTCGAGCTGGGAAAGAATGTAAGAACACCTTGCCCAAACCCTTTGTTTTTCAAGTAAAGAAAAAAGGCCTGGGGAGGTAAAATGATTCTCGGATTCATAAGTTAGGGGAGTCAGAATTTGAATCCTGGATAGGAAATAAAAATGCAGAGTGATTAAGTGATTTGTTCTGGGGTTAGACAACCAGCACCTATGGGAGCTGGGTCATAAACTCAAATCTTTAGGCTCTAACTCCGGTGCTCTTTCTGCTGTAACACACTGACTCTTTCAAATTAGAACTCTAGAATTAAGGGATGGGAGGGATTTCAGAGGTCATCTAGTGACAGTCAATTCAAAATGAATTTACTAAGTGCTTACTCTGTGAAAGGCACTATGATAAGTATTAAGGATAAGAAAAAGAGTAAACGCCTGTCTCCAAGGAACTTACCTTATACCAGAGATGGGGGATACAATATAAGGAAGGTGAAAACACCAACCACTGGGAGGGAGATAGAAAGGATTCTCTTAGAAAGTGAAACTTGAGTTGAACCAGCTCCCCAGGCGACTAGTTGGCACAGTGGATAGAGCAACTGGGCTTGGAATCAGGAAAACTCATGTTCAAATTTGACCTTAGATTGCTAGTTGTGTGTCTGTGAACAAGTCCTCTGTCTGATTCAGTTTCCACAATTGCAAAATGGGGATAATAGTAATAGTATCTACCTCCCAGGACTGTTGTCAGGATCAACTGAGATAATATTTATAAAGCACTCTGCACAATGCCTGGAACATAAATGCTCAAAAATGTGTTTCTTTTCTTCCTTCCTCATCTATAAAATGAAGGTGTCCAAATAGAAAGCATCTGAGATCTCCTAAAGCTCTATATCTATGATTCTGTGATGCTAAATTCTTTCAAAATCCCAGTTTCAATTTTTTTTTAAAACATGCTATTAACTGGGGTTTCATTTGATGCCAGATATAGAGATAAGTAGGTTGCTTTGTTTTGTTTTACCCAGGATGCAGGCTCACTGTAGGAATCGAAACCTTTTCTCCTCATGTTTGGCTTTTATTTTATAAAATAAAATTTTCCTCAAAATTCAATTAAATACTATTTGACAAGCAGATATTAAGTGCCTACCATGGACCAGGCACTAAGCTAGGCAGCAGATGAAAAAGAAAAGACAGTCCTTAACCTCAAAGGGATCTAATGATATCATCTCAGTTAGTGGCAGGGAAAAAGAAAAAAACAACCCCAAACTTTTGCCACTTCCTCATTTGTTCAGAGCCACGATTGCATGCAAGGATATCTTGAATCCTTTCCTGGCTAAAACCTTCTGTGAGCCTAAGAATTTTAGAAACTAACTAGCAGAAATGCGCAGAAACACGTGTGCACTAAATGCTGACGACAAACTTGAACTTTGTCTTCCCTGTTTCCAAGCCCCTCACTCACTCTCTATCCTTTGCCCCTGAGCTCCCTTAATCTTCCTTTTTGGAGAGTTTCACCACCTGACTCAAAGGAGTTTCCAGTACTTTAAAATCTACTCTCACTGTCAGCTCTCCCAAACTGCTGGTGTGGGAATAGGGGTGGAGAGGTAAGCTTTTTCATCTGGATCAAAGGCCGCTGCAGGAACTAAGGAGGAAGGAGTCTTACCTGCAGCAATTGGAGACTTCTCCCTGGAGGGTTGGCAATGCAGGACAGACAGCAAGCTGCAGCAGGACCTGTTTCCCCTATAGCCTTGAGGAATTCTCTTTGGCGGCTGCCCTGAAGTGGAAAACTTGATGTGGTGAGGCAGTTTGGGGGTGTCGCAATCAAGCCCCTCAATTGTTAGACATTCTTAGGCCACCACCCTCTCTCCCATCTCAAAAAAGTCCCTCCCACATGGAACTTGGAAGTCATCCATACAGCTCAACAGTCCTCCACAGTTCAGCCCCTCCTTTCCCCTCCAACTTTCCACCAGGAGTAACCCAAACACAGACATTCTCCTTCCTGAGAGTTAAGTAAACTTTGATGTTTTGACAGTTGCTGGCTGGTTTATTTTTGTCCAGGAGGTCTGATGCCTTTGAAAATGTATTGTGCAGAAAGAAGCAGAACACCTAGAAAGGTACCCAGAGTAAAAAGGAGATGAAGAAGATAGGGAGGGATTGAAGGGAAAGGATGAGGCCTGGAAGACAGCAATAGGGAAAAGACTGAATCTATGATTTCTTTAGAATAGGAAAATCCTGGGAGACCAAGCTTCTTCTTTCAATGCAGATTGATACTTTCTCTGAAATTTTAGTCTTTGAGCATTGCCCAGAGCCCCAAGAGATTATGGGACTTGCTGAGGATGACTGGAGCTTAAATCCAAGTCTTATCTGGCTCCAGGACCACCTCCCTATCCAGTATGCCATGCAATCCAGAGAAGTAATTCCAATTAAGGTCAATAAATTTGAAAGGAGAGAAAAGGGATGGATATTACAACATCTTCAAATATGCAATCTCTTTTCCAAGCCCAGGAAAACTTCAAGAAGCCAAGCTATCTGTGTGGGCAGAAGTGGAGGAGTGGGAGTAAAAGCCTCTTCGTATTAGCATTTTGTAGGTGGAACAAAAAGAAGGATGTGGGGGAGTGAAGACATGGGAATCTTATTTTGCCTACAGCCTAGTACAACTTTCCTGTTTCCTTCTTCTGAGTTTCTAAAAGGAACTAGACATTGAGCAGCATACTGATGTCTAGGGGAGACAGCCTTGCAGACCCTATTATTCATTTATTTGTGAATTCAAGTCATCATACATAACCTGGTCTCTGAGCAGAGACCAGAGTGGTGGAAATGTAATTGGAAATGAAAGATGTGCAGACGTAATGGTGATCTCCTTTTTTTGTTCTCACATATGACACTTCTTCTCTTGTCTCTGTGTCTTTGGCTTGGTGTCCGCCATGCCTGGAAGGTACTTCTCCTTACTGATACCTCACATAATCTCTCACTTCCTTCAAGATTCAGATCAGTTATTACCTCCTTCATGAAACCTTTCCTGTTTCCCCCAACTGCTAGGGCCTGCCCTCCCCAATTACTTGATATTTACTTTGTATTTATTTTACATATTATCTTCTATTAAATGTAAGTTCTTTGACATCAGGAATTCTTTCTTTCTTTTTCTTTCTTTCTTTCTTTCTTTCTTTCTTTCTTTCTTTCTTTTTCTTTCTTTCTTCCTTTCTTTCTTTCTTTCTCTTCATACCTATATCTGGCACTATCTTGCCCTAGTACAGTACTTTGCAAATAACAGGCATTATTTATAAGTAAATAAATAAATGCTTATTGATTAATTATTGATTCATTCATGAAACATTAAGCAACTACTATATGCAATATTAAGAGATCAAGATGAGGTCCTCAAGAATATTTTAATCTTTTTTGTCTTTTAGATTTATGTGAATTTCAATTGGACAATGAGCTACACACAATTGATAAGAAGAGGATATTGGGCTGGATTATATTCAGGAAAATGTACAGTTATTTTTAACAATTCCAAACTGCTGATCATAAAAACCCATTTTAATGCCATTATTTTCCTGGGGATACTACGTTACTATGAATCATGAGGCATTACTATCAACATCTGCTTTCAGAAGAATCTTAACTATAAGTGGTTCATGGAGCAATAGAAAGACACAGGGGAGTAAAGTAGGTTGCAGAATATCACCGGTGATTTGCAGGCAAAAAGATTCATCAAAGACATGCCTAGGAAATGATGGGGGCAAGTCACAAAGCAAGAAAGAGGAATAAGAAATGGACATTCTGAATGAAGCTATCATAATTAAGGACTATGCAAAGAGCCAAGTTATGTTTTAATCATGTTGTGTGGATCTTCTACTAATAAGATCTGAAAAATAAGACTCTCACAGGGTTGGTGATATGCACACATAGTAGGGATTTCCCACCTCAATGAGATCATGGAAGCATTGAAGTATTAAAGCATAGAAATCAAACTCTCTCTCACAGATCCTAAGAAATTCACATTTTAAAGACTGCATCTGCCTATCTTACTCATGCTAGAAGTGAAAGGACTACTCATGCATCCAATCCCATTCTATATTACATCGGAGCTTTGACCTGCACTATTTCTGACATGGGGTTGGTTTGCTCCCGTTTAGGCATCCTGGTGACCTATCTATTCCTAGGAGCTCACCATATTTATACATGCAGACACTCAATCAGCATAGCCCGCTATAGACCAGGCCACTCACACTCAAGAATTCCTCCAGCTTCAGCCTTCCTGGGCAACTGAGATGACCTTCATGTGCCAACATATCTGGCTCACATCTTTATAATATAAAAGAAAATATTTCCAAACTCAAAAATAGAGTGATGCGTAAATACTGCTAAGTACAATCACTCTTTCTGCCCAACTTGTATGATAAAAGCAAAGTCTACTTCATATAGGCCAGGCTAGTTTTTCCCTAAAATGGCGATGAACTATCTTTTAGATCTAGGGGGTTGAAATAGTGGTTAGTGATAGTTGTGAAAAGTGAGTTTCAACAAAATATTTTAAAATACAGCCCCAAAAAAGTACAAAAAGAAACTTCTGCTACTGTTTTATTAAATTTTGTAAAATATGCCTCCTTAAAAACTCTGTATCTTACAGGTGTTCATGGTTTCTTAACATTTTTTTATTCTTTTTATGTGAAAATATTTGTTTGTTGATGATTGTTAAATTCACAATAAAAAAAAGAAATTTCTTAAAAGAAAGGGAAGATGGCACAGATATTTTAGAGGTCAAATTTACAGGACTTGCAATAGATGTGATGTGGAAGGTGGGCAAAAAAAGGAAAGTCAAGATAATGCCAAAGTTTTGAATGTAAATAACTAGGTTAATGATGATGTATGTAGTTGATGGAATGGGGGAAATTCAGAGCAAGAGCAGGTTTTAGGGGAAAGATATTAAATTCTGGTTGAATATGTTGAGTTTGAGGTGGAGATTTTCTGTAGGCAATTTGCCATGTAGATCTTGAACTCAAGAGAAAGGTTAAGAAAGTGGCTGAATTTTATGCATAGCGAGTGTGTGTGTGTGTGTGTGTGTGTGTGTGTGTGTGTGTGTGTGTGTGCATGTGTGCGCATGTTCCTGACTTGTTCCATTAGATTTCTTTCTTCCTTTTTCTTTCTTCCTTCCTTTTTCCCTCCCTCCCTCTCTCTTGCTTTCTTTCTATTTTCCTGCTTCCTTTCCTCCTCCTCCTCCTTTTTCTTTTTCTTTTCTTCTCTGTCTCTCTGTCTCTCTGTCTCTGTCTCTCTGTCTCTGTCTCTGTCTCTCTCTCTCTCTCTCTCTCTCTCTCTCTCTCTCTCTCTCTCTCTCTCTGTCTGTCTGTCTATCTCTCTCTCCTCTCCCCACCCCCACCCTCTTTTTTTTTCTATCTAGGTAACTGAAATTTAGCATTTTGTTGGATGGAGAAGTAATAGGAACACTTATATTTTTGCTGAATGTTATGTAAGCTGATTTTACTAATTAGGCAGGATCCCTAGCATATGTCCAGACAAGGGGCTTGCTGGAATGCTGGGTTTCAATGCAGATCCTATGGCATGATTCTGCATTTTGAGAATTGAGATTATTAAAACCTAGCAGAGATATATATATGCTTGGGACATTTCTAGCCCCCAGTAGTTTCTGAATAGGAAAAAGAAAGAACTTGCAGTTGTGTGAAATGGTGGGGGGAAAGCAATTAAGCCCACGTAAAAGCAAGGAGATTTTTTTTTGCTTAGGCAATCAGGGTTAAGTGACTTACTCAGGGTCACACAGCTAGTAAGTGTCAAGTGTCCGAGGCCAGATAGGAAGTCCTCCTGACTCCAGAGCCAGTGTTCTATACTGCATCAACTAGCTGTCCTAGCAAGGAGATTATAGTAAAAGAAAAGCTCTGGAGAAAGTAAGACCTGGGATAAACAATACAAGTGGAAAGATTTGTTATGGCAGGAAGAAAGGGTATATTCATCCTTTAAGGAGGAATGAAGGAGAAAGAAATGGATACAGAGACTGAAAAGCTCTGAAGTATAGAGGAGAGTTGAGGAACTTTCATTAGAAGATGTTAAAGACATTTAATGATATGAAGTCATTTGCTGACAATGTTGTGAATGTGAATGTAATATAAAACATTAAGAAGTAAACTGCAAAAGGTTCTACATAAACTTAGTCTGTAAATGCATAGGGTCAGGCTGAGTTTGAGGGTATGAAGAGAGAGGGAAAGGTTTGAGAAAGGCACCATGGAAAGTGAAAGAAGTTTTGAAAAGTTGGCATGTTGAGCAGTGGTGAGAGCCCAGTTGAGGTTATGCTCCATGAATTTATGTTAGAAGAATGGTATACCAATAGATAACAGTTACACTGTAGTGTTGTCCAAAGAGGAAACAATAAGAGCATCCTTGCAATGGCAGTCTAAAACAGCCTTTCCTGCACCACCAGCCCTGATTAGTGTGCACTAAAATAAACTTGGGATATTCATTTTGCTATGCTATTGTGTTCCAGACATATTGAAATCCCAATTTCCTGTCATTTCCGAAGCTATTGGACTCCTGACTTCCTGATCTCATGCTGCATTCTCCTTCATTCTTTCAAGCTGCACTTGCATCATAGGAATACCTTCCATCCTCAACGCTGCACACTGAAATCTTTTTCTTTCTTCAATTCCCAACTGCTGCTACCTATTAATCAAGACTTGAAACCAGCACATGCATAACCTATATCTGATTGCTTGCTGTATCAGGGAGGGAGAAAGGGGGAGAGAGAGAAGGAGGGATAGAATTTGGAACTCAAAACATTAAATAAAAATGTTAAAAATTGGGAAAAAAGACTTAAAATCAGAAAAATATAGACTAAAATCTTACCCCAGATGTTTACTAGCTGTGTGACCCTGGTCAAGTACTGTAGCTTCTCTTGACTTTAGCTCCTCAACTGAAAAATGAGTAGGTTGGATTCAACGGTCCTTTCCAGCTCTAAATCTATTATCCTGTGATCTATATAACTAAAAGTAATTTCTCCATAAATTGTCATAGAGCACTTTGCTTGGATCTCTCTCTTGCCTTTATCACATTCTGACTTGTATTATATTTGTTTTTGTCTTCTGTCATATGGTAATTAGATAATAATATCCTTGAGAGAAGAGACTCATTTTCACAACCCCAGCAAGGGCAGCTAGGTGGCACAATGGATAGAGTGTCAGACTTGAAATCAGGAAGACTCATCTTTGTGAGTTCAAGTCCAGCCTCAGACAGTTAGTAGCTATGTGACCCTGGGTAGGTCATTTAACCCTATTTGCCTCAATTTCCTCATCTGTAAAATGAGCAGAAGAAAATGACAAAGCATTCCAGTTTCTT